CCTGGCCATATACTGGCATCTGTGTAACCAACAAGTCCAGCCCTCACCTCCAAAAGATTACTAACTTTGAATTCCTCTTAGGTATCTGAACACTCACTGCGTACTCAATGGTCTTCTAGGAGTTGATAGACACCGGCTCACAACCACTGCATAGCGTGTATCTCTCGTACACGAACAGTTCGACATCAAACTTCCGACGCTTTGAGGATATAAACAGTTGAATATCTCATTTTCTCGTTGTGTGATTGGGTAGGATTTCTTACTCAATTCGAAATGAGTTGCAAGGGAATGCTAAGGTATTGCATCTTCTATTGACCTCTCTAGAACTCGTTCAATACTATTTTTCCTTAGTAACCGAAACCTGCAGGAACTTTTCTTTCTTGCTAATCCCATTCAACGAATCACCTTCCAATCCTTAATCCTTCATGTCAAATGCTTTGACAATCACCTTTAACCTGCTAATCATGTGTGCACTGGGTCCCAACGCAGTATTATACTCAAAATATAAGAGATGATAATAAATACCATCTAGGAAATTTCACGTATTACACAAGCTGCCATCTTCCTTTGTATCCTGATCACATAAGGAATCAATATTTTCCATTTCATGTTGCTGTTTCAACCCGTACAACTCTCTTCAGCAGACAAGCATGTCTCTTTTCCTTGATCCTGAAACCTTGCGTTGTTCCATATAGATTTGTCACTCTAGATCCCACTGCAAAGAAGCTAGTCTTTAATCAAAGCGCTCTATCAATTCAAACTGCTACGAGAACTAGCACACTCGAATTAGAAGCTATTTCACAAACTCGGGTGAAAAATCTCATCAAAGTCAATATCTTCTTTGTAAATCCTTTAAACTTCACCAATCGATTGTATCTCACTAGTTCATCACCTCTTTATTTGGTACACCCATTTTCTTGATTTTCTCTTCCTTTTATCGTTTCAACCAGCTTCCATTATATCATTCTTTTCAAAGAATTCATCTCCTCTGCATGCCCTCTTGTCCAGCAATCTTTATCCTTTCAGATGCATTGCTGAAGCCTCTCTGCTCCCTTCAATCAAAAATAAAATGTCAATCAGAACTGGGGTACTGTATCCATGGTTGCTCTCTGTTTAACTTCTTAATTGAGTTCCAACCCTTTTCTGTTTGGAATGTCTCTGACTCCCCGCTGCTCAAACCTCGGTACCATCTACTGTTATATCTACAATGTCTCTTATCCCCATGATCGGATCGCTTCCTTCTTCCTATTCCTTATTCTGTCATTCCTCTCCGTGCATCATGTATGAGCTTCTCTGCGTCTATTCAACAAACAACATTCATCTTGATGAATTCTTCACAGTTGATCTGCACGATCTGCCATCTCGGGATACTAGTCTTCAGCTCCGGACAAACTTCTTTTCACTAGAGCCAATCCTGTAGCCAACTCTTCGTCTCCATAACCAACAAAATTGCAGAACGATTTGTCTAATCAAACTTTATGCTTGCTCCTTCAACATGGCAAAAATGCCTTGCAGCCAAATACCTCAGGAGGTATGAATATTTCTAATTCTTCCAGACCTCTCCAGTACCAAAATTCAAATGGATACTGAGTAGTTCGGTTAATTAGTAGACAGCAGTGATTGAAGCTTCTCCCAAGAATGGCTTAGTTAATGTTGCCATTTTGTGCATGGATTGAACTCTTTCATAATGTGCCTATTATCGTCTCTGAGCAACGTGGGTTTGGATGGCGAACCAGAGAACGTCTTTCAGTCGAATACCATCGGCTGACTACAATCAATCTCTTTAAACACTCCTTAGAAGATGTATTCACCACCATTTCGTGCGCAAACATAAGCCAGGTCCCGTCTCCGTCACCATCGCATGGAATTGCTGAAAAGCGCATGAAAGTTGGTCTTGTAGCGCCAACAAAATATATCCAGTTCTGAAGAAATCAATCATATGAAGGTAGAAATAACTACATCCCTCCATGATTCATCCTCCAGGACCAACTACGTTATAGTTTACCAAGCTCAGTATGTCTCCCGTCTAGAGCTTTTCTAAAGGACACTAACTGTTGTTCCCAATAAACAATGATCACAAAGGGTTTATTACCATGCTTGCTTAATGAGAGGACTTCTTAGCCAACATTATTCAACCCTTTCTCAAACTAACATGCGCCAGTCCTGCCTATGCACAAATTTGGTGAGCGAATCATCTTGCAACTGTATTCAGTACCCGACCATATTGTGCTGCTCTATACAGCCGAGCTACATTAATTTCTATCGCCACACAACGACCCCCTTCTGAGTTCCATTACGTCACCTGTATGATGTGATGCCTTCTGTCCTAGTTACACTGATAGGAAAACAGGTTCAACGAAGATCGATATGTTTCACATTTTAATCTCAATTCACCCGGAACACTTGTCTATGCAACATCACCGATTCCCACCATCTCAACACTTATTACTTCCATTCTAATAGTTACCAATAATCTCCTGCTTTATAGTGGAACAAAGATTTCTTTCGAACTCCTATGCTTTAAGCACCGAGAGGTCTACCTCCACTCGGTATCTTGCATCTCAACATGAACAGCATTCTACGTATCATAAGTGACTAAAATCACCTCACCATCTTTGCTGAACTGTAAGCAAGATTATTCTTTCCATTCTCCTGTCTTCGGTATTATCCTGTTTAGTAAAACAGCAATCTTTTTGATGAATTACCCCCTTTACCTCAATTGTAACACTTTCTATTCTTAGACTTGGTATTACCCACCTGACTTTTCTATGCCTTGGAACCTCTACTCTTGCGTTCCGGCCCCATTCTCTATGACAAGGTTGGAACTTAGTACTGCAACATCTCTTCTTGTTCTTTATTTGATTAGTCATGTCCTTTACCATAACATTTTACAGCAACCATTCGAGCTTATGTTACTCTAATGATCACCACAAAGTTCTCAACTATCCGCGTAGAGAATCCCACTGAAGCGCAGCTTGCATCTATCGTCATTCAAAACATACCGCTAACTGCATTAACTCAGTTATCAGATCCTCAAAAATCTTCATGTGTGTGTAACTGTCGACCCCTCTACACTTTCGTTTCATGACTACAATCATGAACACTTTACCATGAGCTTTGTAGCTACGAAACAATTATTCTCTAACTTTTTCCTGAGAACATGGGGTCATCTTTTCATTCTCACGTGTGTAAAGCTGCAGCATCTATCCTATTGGCGTATTTACCAAATGTCTGCTTTTAAATTGGTCTCACATCGTCTTTCAACTTTCTTCTGCTTTGGCACGTACTTCAAATTGGATCGTATAGATCTTGTTAATTGATTTAGCCTCTATCTAGATTTTCACATTGAATAATTGAATCCGTCAATTGATCATGCCCTTGTTAGCCTATTGCTCGAATTCGGAATCTGACAAAATTTTTACTATTGAAATCCACATTTACTATTCAAGTTTGAAACCAGTAACTTTTGTAGAAAACTGACAAACTTTATCAACTAAAGCGCTTGTTACCAGTTTTTAGGATTTCTAACTTTCCAAGTGCCGCAGAAAATATCCGATGTTTATGAAGTAAAATAAAATACCGACGATAAAGGTAAAACGTTTCAATTAACCACCAGAAATAATAATCACGATAAAAAAATTAAATAATTACCGTAAATGCCAGATGGAAAATAGGGACACCGAGATTTACGTGGTTCACCCTTCAACTGTTATGGGCTACGTCCATAAGACAAACTCCGAATAATTCTTTCACTAAAAATAGTAGGTACAAAACAGATTACAAAAATAGTGACACTCCAAGTGTTTCCCAAAAACACCCCTAAAAATTATAATCCTCACTATTTTCTCTTTTCCAATTTTAGGAATCTTTTTATAAAATCCTCTACACTTAATTGTGTATTCCTATTCTTTGTTTTTGTGTTTGTTTAGGGAAAACCTATTCTTTGTTTTTGTGTTTGTTTAGGGAAAACCTTCTCCTATAAATAAGAGAAGGGGACGCATTATTAACGCGTCCACCGAGTGGACGCGTTAATCACGTGTCCATTTTTTCTCCTTTTTTTCTTCTTTCGCAGCCTTCTTTGACTGCCAAAACAAAACGTGTTTGTTATTTTTTTATTTTACCCGAAACTTTAGCCTTCCACGTTGTATTCCACAAAGAGGATGGACCTGCAACACCAATATCCGAGCCTCATATAAAACCTTGTAGCCACTAGAAAAATTGAGTATACACCGTTTGGCTTAAAAGCTCACCTCTAAGAATCAAGGAACCGATGCAAACTAAGGGGGACTTGCCTTATGAGCTGCACCTCTTGAGCATAAAATAATTGCTGCAAAATCTCCTCATCCCATAGTCTTCTGCCTGGTAATATGAGGTCAGCCGCACAAACATTTTCAATCCCTGTACTATATTCACAGAGAACATAAGGACTAGCAACATCATGTTGTACCCAAATTTTAAAAAATCCTTATTTTATAATTAATAATTATTTATATTTATTTAATAAAATAATTAAAAATATAATTTAATTAGTACACAAATACTTTTATATTTTGTATAATTTATGAATGATTTAAACTTATTATAACATTTAAATTATTATAATTTGAATTTTGATATGTTTATTATTATTATGTTGAATATATAATGAATGACATAATAATTAGTAATTATAGATTAGTGTTAGATGATTAATGGTTTAAAAAATAATTATACTATTACTTTTTCGTTATAAAATTATCTATAAGTATATCTTATTAATTTTTTACAAAAAATTATAAAATCTAAAAATTAAAAAAAAATCCGATTGAACTGAGTTGACTCGGTCTAATTGCAACCTATTCATAAGCCAATTCGATGTTTGGCCCAGTTTTAAAAATATAGTTTATAATAGATGAATGAAATTTCATTTATGACCAATTTTCTAAAATTTTGATTTCCCAATTTTAAAATTTTCAAGCATTGACAAAAAAAATAATAATAATAAAATGAGACGTAGCATCTTCAATGTTCAATAGAAAATCGAATTATTCGAATTTATTTATTATGAATTCATTACATCGACATTTCAATCACACGGTACAAGTCTTGCACACAGAAGAATTTTAAACTTTTATTACGAGACAAACCAAAAGCTGTTTATACAGTTTTGGCCCAAATAGAAAAATAAAAAAAGCACGATAGTTTAGTTTTATTAATTGCACCCATCAAAATGCATCATCCTTCGCATAGTTTGAATTAATAGGCATCAGGATTTGCCAAGAGGTATGTTTCAATAACTTTGAACATTGCTAATATTTGTTGTTCCCCAGCCTTGATTACTTCTTCATCAATCTTAGCGTCGCCTTTTGCATAGTATTTGCCTATGCTCTTGACGATGGATCCTCCATTAGGAGCAGACACTAGTTTTATTTCATAAGAGACTTTTTCTATTGTATCGTTCCATAGTGCGCCTTCAAATGTAGTATAGTTATATATGAAATTATCTTTATCTATTGCGTCAATTCTATTTTTCACATACTTAACTTCACTACCTGCTTGTGTAATAAAGAAACATATTAGTAAATAAAAGTTAATCGAAACTGAATAAATAATTAATTATAACAACAATAATTAAAAATGTTTAATCATCACCTTCTACAAAGGTAGTTACAAAGGTAGTCTTCTTAATAGTTCCAGGGCCTCCATTTCCTTCAATAATCTCAATACTCTTAATGACGGGAATAATTTTAGGGATAATTACAGAATCTTCGAGAACGAAGACCTTAAACATCTTTTCAGGAGAGATTGCAGTAACAACTTCATCTTCACGAATCAAAGCAGCCATGTTAGATTTGGTGTTTGGAAATGATAAACTGGAAATACAGAAGGTTATATATTGGATGTATGCGATGAGATGTTGATGGTGAAGATGGTATTTATAGACTGAGGCATGTAAATGTGCCTCTTGTAAAATCTGAATGGAACATATAAATATATATACAATGCGCATCATGAGGCATTATTGGGATCATACTTTTATTATTGGATGTCTCTTCTAGATGTTCTCCATACATGACTCGCGCATGTTAATATTATATATATTAACCTGATAATTAAGGATTTGCATGTTTGTCAGAAAATTTATTCGAATTCATATAAAATGCAGTTTAATGTATATATATATATATATAAAATAAAATAGAATATTTTAATTAATAAAATGTTATATAATGTACAAATTGACATATTGCACATTCCCAGCTTTGTCATGTTAGGATTATAATGAATAATTTATAAAAATAAAATAAAATAAACCCGATCCTTTATCATCCTACCTCAAAACCCGAATTCACTGACCTCCATAATACAGATAAAGAATACTCCACATGGCAAAAGATGATTGGCCATGAAGAAATTTTTTATATAAAAGGGTGATTTGTTTTAGTTCTTTCTCATAGCTAATAGCGATGGTGGACTGTTTGAATACTTGAATGCTAATGGTAACTATTGAAATGTGTATATAATTTTTTAATGACAAATAGATTATTTTGTATTTTAATATATTATATGAATTAAATAATATATTAACTATTAATAGTTATTTAGTATTTTAAATAATTATAAAGGAAATAATCGGAAAAAAAATAAATTAAACTTGCCGAAGCCTGATCTATAGATCCACCCATGACCAAATTAATTAAAATATAGATTTTTTAAATAGTTACCATTTTTTAAAAATATCCTCAAGAAAAGCTTAATTATTTATTTAATTTTTAATTATTTTTCGTTGCTTTAATCCATAAATTCAATCCAAAGTAAAATATCTAATTTTAAAAAACTAATTTGATAAATAATTATTTTTATAAAGCTAATGTAGTTTAACCATAAATAGATACAAATTAATTGATCTCACCAAGTACTATTTATTACAACCGCAAGTTAAAATGACAATAATCTCAATATGAAGCAGGGAAAGAATTAAGAAATTTTGTACAGGCGAGTTTTTTTATGCTATGAAAAGTGCAAAATGTATGGGTATAAAAAACATCAGTAGATACGTAGCTTCATTCCAGAAAGTGTCCCAACCTACAGTATCATGATTTGGTCATCTCGACCAGCCCAAATCATGACCGACTAGAAAATCGGGAAGGAACTATCCATTTAGCTCCTCTTTAGAAGCAACATAGCTATCAACATATATGCAATGATAATGAATAGTGAACAGAAACAACATTTTCTCATCAAAAGTTATATTTCAGAAAGAAACAGGACAGTTATCTGTGACCAAGTAAAAATTTTGTGCTGTGAGCCAGTTCATTCTAAAGAGAATTATTTTACACCAACAGAAGCCATCAAATCTTCGTACTCAGGATCAGGCTCTTGTTTTCTTCCCTTTATCACATTACCTCCTTGCTGTTGATGCATAATAGGAACGGAAGTGGGCGAGAACGGATCATAAATTTGCTGCTGCCCTGCAGGACCCGATGCAAAATGCAGATTTTTACTGGACTGTTGACTTGGTGCCATGAAATTGGCTCGTGGAGTTATTGGAGCTGGAAAATTTTGCCGAATTTGAAGGGGATTCCCAGGCCTGGGAGGAAAAGGGCCGGCTAAATCGGGTAACTGTTGGGTTGGATTGAAATTTCGAGGTGGCAACATGATTGGACTGGCATTTGAAAATGTTGGGACTCTAGGGGAAACTGAGGTACTAGCAGAGTTTCCAGCGAAGGGATTAGCAGACATGTGAACCGGAGTTTGACCCATCTGATTGCCCAACTGTGACCTTGGAAACAAATGCATACCGGGTGAAGGAATTGAATTGGGCATAGTCAACCTCAATGACGGTGCTTGAGGTGATGGTGGTTGCATCAATGATCTAGCAAGTGGAGGATCTTGAGTCATAGGCCGATTGATTGGCCTGGGAACTGATTGAGCTGTTGGATTCTCTGGATGAGGTTGAAAGGTAAAATCAATGGGGCCCGAGTGCAGTGGTCTTGGAGCTGTTATTGTCGATGGTCTTACAGGACTAGGAGTTGGTTGTAGCATGGATGTCACTGGAGAAGAAATTGCTGTGTTTCCAGATACAGGGTTTATTGATGCATGAGGTACAAGGGTTCCAGCCATGACTGCTGGAGAAGACTGGAAAGGTGCAGTTGAACCAACTTGAGGTGGCAGAACACTAGCAAAATTTGAGGCTCCAGTGGGATGATTCATATGAACATTTATAGTAGGAGCAGATGGCATATTTGAGGGCAGAAAACTCGGATGTGGAACCACAGGTCGAGGCACCTGTAAAGAAACCATTTGCCCCATGTTACCCTGACCCAAAGATGCTGGAGCACCAGCAGGAGCTGTAGACCACCCAGAAGAGCTTCCGATAGGGGTCGATGGCCTGTCGGATTGTGGTCCTAGTGGAACACTTAATGAAGGCACTAATTGTCTAGCGATTGGAGATTGTAGTGGCGGCAGGGGTTGGTTACCAGAAAATGGAAGTGAAGTGAAAACGTTAGATTGAGCAGCTGAAGGCTGAGGAGCTGGCATGGGAAAATTTCTTGGTGGATATGGATGCGACGAAACTTGCAATGGCAGTTGTGGCCTGGAAGAAACAAGAGATGCATTTTGGAGAATTGAATTGAACCCGGATGCTGGAATTGGTCGAGGGCCAAACAATGACGGCATGGTTGTAGGATTCATAGGTGACGAGTATACAGGTAGCAGATTTATATGAATTGGAGCAGAAGAATTCTGGAGCGGAGTGAAGGCTGGAGGAGGATGTCCCAGAGCCTGAGCTGAGATTGCTGCTGGGAACTGTGGACCTTGGTACTGAAACTGACCTTGTTGGGAAATTTGAGTAGGTCCAACCACAGATTGAGGCACTCCCTGGTCACCAGTGAGGACTACAGAAGGACTCGAAGCCTCATGACTGAGAGCATTTGCATTATTCCCAGACACTAGATTCCCCTGCAAAATAGTTAAATGGCAGTTAGTAATCAGGCCAAGGAATGCCGATATGCATAATGCCTAATAATGACAATAAAGTAAATTCAATATGCAAAAGTCCATGAAAATAATCATAGCTGAGGGGTGAAATACAAATGAATAAATAAATATATAGCTATCATTGAACATAAATGAATGTAAACAAATATATAGCTCTCATTGATCTTCAGAATCTGAAACTCACTGATACTGAAGTAACTAGCATTTCAATTAGGGAAACTGCTCCATCGACTTTTTCACATGTGTCAGCAGATATATGGACATTCAGCTCATCATAAGAAGCAACATGGGTCTCATACTCATCAGACAGAGAAAGCTCAACCTGGGAAAAGAATAAGATTCATTTTTGAGCAATTTGTTACATCTAATAGCAATTGTAGGATATCAATGTTTCACATTGACAAGGAATCAATTAGAAGAAGAAGAGGAAAAGAAATGTTCAAGTATCTTTAAGAGAAAGGTTTCACACTAATGTATAGTTAGATAGCAGGTAAAATTTGGAGTGGATAAAGTGGGGTAAGTGAAAGTGAGATGATTAGTATGAGTTCACTTGTTTGGGAAGCCAAAAAAAGAGAGGCGAGGGAAATTTTTGGTCTAAAATTTCACTGACTCCCACCAAATTCCAATCACTGAAATCTGGGGAGAAAGTTGGAGAACACCCATGTTAAAAAATGTGCTAAGATTATAAATCTGACCCCATTAATTGCGCAATTGTTTGTTTTCCAAATTTTGCTTATGGATAAAGGATAAAATTTTAATTTTAATAGTTTCTTTTTAAAATATTTTAATTTTCAATTCATGGTTGACTGATAAAAGCTCTCACCTCTCTTTCTCCCACACCATTTTCAATCCCTCAAATTCCAAATCCCACCCCCACCCCCAAAAAAAGAAAAATAAGACTTACCTTCTCTCCTGTATTAGCTTTGCTACCATATAATTGTATTTTGGCTCCAGTCTCCTGAAACACAATAGTAATGCATAGATCACTAAACTACAATTCATAACAAATAAAAAAATCTCGATCCCATGCTTCCCACGAGCATCAGGGCCACCTGGTATCTTCAAAATTTACCTTTTCTAGTCGCTTCTGCGTCTCACCTCCTGGCCCAAATATTAGACCAACAAAATTGTATCCAGGATGGTCTTTGACCTGTATAGTCAAATATAACTTGTCATGATTCTGGAATGTCTAATCCTAAATAAGCCTAAAAGCTTGGCTGTAAAATAAAACACAAACAGTAATGAATTAAGAATAGTAAAAACCAGACCAGCTACTGGCATTTGGCAATGTTTAAAGCAATTGACAATTTATAATAACTGTTGCCTACTATTGATGGCACAAAATTCTATGAAGCATCACATTAAAAAGTAAAGATCCCAGTAGACCCTTATACATTATAGGAAGATGACAAAAAATTCCTACTATAAACCACAGTTGAAAGATACCCAAAGTCCTTAGCTTAATCTCTGTTCGACGATAGTAATAGAAAAAAATATTTATTCCTATGAATTATAAAAAATTTGCAACACTTCATCTGGACAATTTGAAGAAAACAAATCTCTTTAGTTAATAAAAACAATTACAGAATATGGAAACGATAAGGAACCAAGGCATCCAAACTTGACCTACAGGAATAGGAACAGTAGCCTCTTTCAGCAAAGGTACATAATCAGGTGGAGGCTTGTAGCATGGATTGAGTTTGAGTATTTCACCTGGAAAATCAAGATAATGATGATGATGATGCCAAAAATAGCAGCTAACACTATGGAATAGAGTTGAGAACTATAGCAGTACTTAAACTTTGACCTGATGTTTATTTTGAGTGCTTGAAATTTTTTTTTTTTATATCAAATTATTCAATGAGCTAATGGTTTATAATGAAGATCATTTTTGAACTTCTCGCTTACAACTATGAAAATAAATTTTACGGATAAAATACTAAGTTTGACAGAAGTAAAAAATAAGCAAATATTGTATAGTCAAACAATACTCATTCAGAAAAAAAAAAATCTACATTCATGTCTCTTTCCTTCCTCTTGTCCCTCACTTTCTCTCGCTCCCCCAAAACCTTTTGTGATTAAAACATTCTAGCCAACCATTCCAGTGAGAGAAATCAACCAAAATGCACCTGGTCAGAAATCCTTTGTTCATTTAAGCACTTGATTGCAAAAAGATTAAAGTTTGAGCACTTGAATAGAAATCAAGTCAAAAGTTCATGCACTGCCAGCATTATTATCTCAAAGGAATATATGATCTAAGAAAAATTTTCAAGCGTACCTATAGCCTCCTGCCTTTCAAGTTTCAAAAGTTCTAAGTCCTTCACCAACAAATTCTATTGTAAGTGCTCAGAAACATAAAATATCCAATACGAAGTAGAAAGTACTCTTCATAAAATGAATGCAATTTAACCATAACTTTACCTTTGTGTCAAATGATGAACTGGATGACTTGGATTCCACATGCTGATCAAGTACTTCCGAGTCTTCAGTTTCCCCAGGATCTAGAATTCCTGACCTCAGCTGTTGTGTAATTTGATCCACTCGAGTCTGCCCAAAATTTGCATATAACTTAGTGGCACCTGGAACGGGAAGCTTCCATGTGAGCCCTTCACACGGAAGACACTGACATCTTAGCACCCAATGGGAAAAGGCAATTTTTAATTGCTTCCAGCTGAGCAATATATTCCTTCCACAAACCAGGGCTATAAATGCCTCCAACCCATTTTGTACTTAATCTAAATCCAAATATCCACAATTGAAAATTGGAATTTAAAGATTGAAGGTGATAGGCGTGCAAGTGTACTTTATCTAGAAATTAACTACTGCATGTAAAAAATATTAAGATGATTCATTACTTGCAAGGAAAATCCCAACTCACCTGATAAGCTAATGCTCTTCCCCTTTTAACAGCAGCATCCTGAGTTGGATCAGGGCCCCATTTTGTTTTCCTCAGCACCTGGTTGGTATTGTCTTCATTGGCTATTTCATTGCCTCCTGACTTTTTACCTCCTCTGAAGATGGGAACCAATGAACCAGAGAGTTTGTTTTTTGGTATGACAAATCCAGACTTTGCCGCAAATATAGAGACCTTAGTACCAAGTGTTGATGCACCAGATGAAGTAGTTGTTGCAGACATCTTAATCTTATGGGGTTCAACTGCAGATTATTCAACCTCAACACTGATCTTATTCTTCGGACACTTTTATACTGCACCTAAACATGGTAAAGCACAAACATATGTATTTACCAAAAGGTTTACTTTCAGAAATTAACCATTTCAACAAATTTTTCCTTGTGAACGGGCAGAACTGATAAAAGGCAGAAACCAAACACTAAAAATGAATTCCATAAAATTAAATCCACACTTTGAAGGTCCAAGAACTCTGAAAATTCATTTGGAAGTCTACATCATTAGCTCGATGGAATTTATCATACTTGAGCAAAATGCTATCAGAACTGATACAATTCACGGATTGCTATGAAAGTTTCATTTCCCTTTTTTTTGGACTCAAGTTTCAAACTTTTCTCATTAAATTGTTGTCCCTTCCAAGATGGTGAAATTATTACCCCAGGCATGTCACTTCCTATAAACTGTTAGATTCTGGCCATGTGCCTTCTAACCAATAAACAAATAGATAAATTTACAAATGAAATGAACCCATATTCATTGGACGAAAAGAAAATGTAAGTGGGTAACAAAAGGTTTCTAAATACTTAGGATGTTCACATGGTATAATAGATGAAAAAAATAATAATCAGAACACATGACAAAACGGAAGCTCTCATCACACTGCTAAATAGGAAGTCATTATAAGGTTAAAGGAAGTGTCCTCCATTTGGGGCGTGGGGTTGTGGGTAATTCTAGCTTTCCATAAAAACATGACAGCCTTTGTTACAAGTGACATATAACAATGCCGTACCAGAAATTTTGAGCAAATGCTCTTTGAGAAATAGCACTCTTGAGACAACCCTTGAGAAAACCTAATACAGCATTTAAAACTGTTATATGCCCTCTATGATAAAAACTCTTACAACTTTGTACAACATTTACCTACAAAGTAGAGATGAACAAAATAGCATCGCAAAGGGATGATCTTCCTCCATAGTATTATCAATTTCGAAGAGTACTTCTAAGAATTGTTAACAATTCTAGCCTGCTGGAACAAACACAGGTATATTATCTATAGATATATCATTTCCCTCCTTTGCATTCCAAAACTGGAAACGACAAAGTTCCTGCCTCCAATGAAACGACACCATTTCCTGCTCCTTTGTGATTCCTCTTGCCCCCTTCTTTTCTCCTCCTCCAACTTCATAGACATCCACAACTCTTCACAGATCATCAATCCTCTCCCCTCCCCTCCCTTCCCAACATAAACCCATCAATTCTCCACTGTGTTAAGTTCACCAACTCAATTATCTAAAGAAACATACAAGCTAACAGAACAACTAGCAAATACAACAATCAAAATTAACATTATTATAAATGATCGCATAAAAAATTTCAAATAACAATAAGTGCAAGCATGTCAATGTCTAGCCCTAATTTTAGTAATAAAAAAAGAATAGATTTCATTAACTTGTGTAGAGAGAGAGAGAGAGAGAGAGAGAGAGAGAGAGCTGGAGAAGAGTACCTGGTATTTTACAGGTGAAGCAGGTCAGAACGGAGGATTTGATATTTCTGGTGTCTGAAAGCAGAAAGCAGGCAAGAGATTGCTGCTACTGGAGAACGAAATACACGGGAAGGGGGGGATTAGGCCTTCGAGCAAACCAGAGCGGAATCGGGTTAACAAATCTCGGGCCGAATTAATTAAGTTCGGGTTTGGGCCTTTGCTCAGTCCAATTTAATTTTTTATATCTTAAAACCGACTTATTAGATTTACTTTTTCGGAACTTTGCAATTTGTTATAACTAGCAATATACCGTGACATGTGCGGTTAAAAAAAAAATTTTAAATTTTGAAAGAAAATAATATAATGTATATGGCTTGTTTATAGATTCTCTAAGTAAAATTTTTTATATTATGTTATTAAAATATATAAATAAAGATAGATGAATAATATAAAATGCACTCATGATTTTTTAATAATGAGAATAAAAATTAATAGATAAACATGTATTGAAAGTAGTGGAATTTATAAACATAAATAAAAAAATGAAAGGAGACTTAATTAGTTTGATTCTTTTATTAACATAAAATAACTCCCAACATCATTAAAAATCTACAAATTAAGTAATATATATAAATAATATATAGCAGAGCAGTTTACATTATATCGTAGTCAAGTGTAAATGAGGATAATAATTATTTAGCACAGTTGTAAGAAGATAAAGTATAATAACACAATTATAAGAATATAAATCGTTTTATATTTTTAGATAATGTCTTTATCATGATAATCTCTATTAGTTACATCCCATCAAGATAATGCATTAAATTAAATATTTAATTTCTTATTTTAATGACATAAAATCAAATTTAGAAAAAAGCACTTCATTTTTATTGGTAATAAAAAAAAAGTTCGTACCAGAAACCAGGTTGTACGGACACGGGACACGAGATACGGGAACATACTGATACGATAATTTTTAAAAAGTAGGATATTCATATGCTTAAGATATATTATTCTAAATAAGTAATACATTAACATTTTAAATAAATAAACAATCATTTATAATCTAATAAGTTAATTACATTAAACATTTTAAATAAATAAAAACAATTCATTTATAATAAATCATAAACATTAAAATAAATCATAAACATAAAATAAAAAATATTTAATTTCTTATTTCAATATAATTAGTTAAATTTTTAAAATTATTATCACTATTGAAAAATATATTAACAGTCTGTATGCATTTTTTTATATAGGTCATACTATTCATAGTTTTTACTATCGCATACCTTATGAAAAACTTCGTATGATACTTAAGAAAATATATCTTAGCATCCCAACTTTTCAGCATATCTCATTAACATACAATTTATAATTTTATTATATAATTTTACTATTTTGAATGTTGTTATAAAATACTATTTCATCTTTTAAAATTACCTTGCGCATCGTACGGAATATAAGGGGAAAAAAGCAATTATATTTTTAGATAATATCATATAGGAGGAAAAAACTAAATTAATATTAATAAGCAAAGATTATTTTATTTGGAAATAAGAAAGGAATATAAAGGAAAAGAATTCTGATAACTTTCTTTTCAAATTAGAAGAAAAATAAAAAAAATTATAAAAATAAATTTGTAGAAAAAAATTAATTTTATTTTTCTTTTACATAAAAAAAGTAACAAAAGTTTTTCTGAAAAAAAAATAGTCTCTTTTTATTTTTTCTGATTATTCATTAAACAAAAAAAGATACAAAATAAATAAAAAAATATTTCATCACGCGATACGATAATTTTTAAAAAAGTAAGAGATCCACACGCTTAGGACACACTACACTAAATAAATATAATACATTAATATTTCAAATAAATAAACAATCATTTATAATAAATAATAAATCATAAACATAAAATAAAAAAAATACTAAGTTCGTATTTATATATATTTAGTTAAATTCTCAAAATTATTATATGGTTAAAAGTTAAACTATTGGTATAAGCAAGTTAAAAATGGTCGTATATAGGTCAACATTAAATGGGTCGTATATAGGTCAACACATCCACTATAATATTAAGCGGGTTACACGAGTTGTATATGGGTCAACACGACTCACTTAATCTGTTTATGATATTAAGCAGGTTAAACGTGTCGTATTCGTGTCAACCGTTTAATTTTCTTGTTGTATTTATATCGAAGTTATAAAAAATTATTTCATCATTCAATATTGTTCCTCGCATCGCGCGGTTCTAACACTAGTTCATTTTAAATATGACAAACTCCATCATATTTAATATAATTTAATTCAAAAAACAAATAATTATTCAAGTTACTTCCAAATTATGTATTTTAAAATTAATATAAAATAATGGCTTAACCACCAAAAATACCCTGAACTTAATGTGTTGTTATAATGATACCCTAATTTGATCTTTTTAACATCTATACCCTAGTTTAACCTTTTAGTTGTATTTGGAGGTTACAGGAGGAAAACATAAACGTAGAGTCTACGGCATTGGCTCTCAAGCTTCCCTCTTCTACCCACATCCTGGTATGAGTGGCAGCTCATTTAGTTCCTCATCGACCTCGTCGGATGCCATGGAGTTAATTCATTCACTGAAAGAACGACAAGATGCATTGACAGATTGCTTCAGCAACAAACAAATATGATTTCTCAAATTCATAAGCATTTGCAAATCAAGTCAAGCCAGCCACCAGTATCTTCAAACCATTTAGATTTAGACCCTAATGCTCCTACTTCCAACTCCAGTGTTGATCCTGCGACAAATGAAGATGAAAATGATGTTTTAAGGCTTGGATGGTTAGAGGAATATCTCTTGGTGAATTTCTTTTGGTTGAATATCTATGATTAAAATGTTTACATATTTGAACTTAGTTACAAATATATCTAGTATTAAAAAAGTGTACTAAATATGTTTGAATTATGGAGAATATATATTATATATAATATATATAGTTTCATATATATATATATATATATAGTTTCTTTTTCATATTTGCTTTATGATTTATATTTTTAACAGATTTCCTGAGTCCAAAATAAAAAATATATAAATATCTAGTAAAACAGCTACGAATTAGCTATACAATTTTGGAATCAGATGTGTTTAACTCTAGCTACAACATTGCTACAAAATAGCTCTAGATTTTCGCTATGGAATTGCTACAGGTTAGTCATGGAAACTTTTAGCTACGGATTGGCTAAACAATTTTAAATATGGATTTACAATAAATAGCTGTGAATTTATTATAAAATGGCTACCGATTTAGCTACGGCATTGCTACTATTTAGAGACCGAATATGTAGCTACAGATTAGCTACACATTTTTTGACAGTGATTAGATTCTTTATTACTACAGATTTATGGTAGCTATTTCATGGCTAAATAGCTACGTACTATAAATTCGTAGCTATATTTTTAGCTACAAGGGTTTCAGGGACGAAAATATTCCATAGTTATTCTGTAGCAATATGTGATTAGCTACGGATTTATTAAACTTAGCTTTCGAAAATTCCGTAACTATATCCCAATTTTCTTGCAGCGTCCTGTGGTGATGCAAAAGCTAGATCAACAAACTGATTCCTTAAGAATAATATATTATATATATATATATATATATATACTCCAAATAAACTAATTATATCAATATATATACTTCCAAATAAACTAATTATATAATTGCAAATAATTATCTGGTAATTTTTTTCTCATCCAAATTTACATCTCTAATTTAAGAATATCAATTTACTTTTGATGTTTTTTAGATGGATTTCAATGATGATAAGGTTTTCCTTAGAATTCATTCTAAGGCATATTATTTGATATGCAACTGACTATTTAGCTATAATTTTGATGATGAATATTTTGATTTGAAGCTCTAAGTATATGATTTTGTTCCAAATCCCATGCAGGATTTTGAATGTGCAAGTCGAAAAGAGACATCAAGACTAGTCTGGATAGGAGCAGAGGCAGACCATTTGTTATTGTTGAAGCTTAATATATTGAATGTGGTTTCATCTTAATATTTTGAGATTTTGAATGTGGACTCTTCTTACATTTGATATTAAGGCAAAACAAGGATTTTGAATGTGGAATATTTTGAGATTATTGTTGTTGAAGCTTAATATATTTTACGTTTTTTATTGTTGAAAATATTTTAGCGACTGTTTATTATGGAAACATGTGTAATGACTAGTAATTTCGGTGAACATTTATTTCGGATAATTCGGTTAATCACAAAAGTTCGATTAAGTTCAGTCGGTTAATTAATTCTCTATTTTTTTGAACTTCGGTGCGGTTAATAATCAAAATTACTTTGCTTAAAATGGTTTGGTTAAATAATTATCTAAGTTAAGTTAAGTTAAATAAAAAAAATTCGGTGAAAAAAGTTCGTTAAAAAATTTAGCCAAATTAACCGAATTGGCCGAATGCTCACCCCTAAACCCAAGGCATGATAGGTTCCCTGTAAACTTAAGTGTGCTATAAAGTAAAACGTATAAACTTTAAGGACAAATTTATGTATTTAGCCTTCAATATTTTACACTGTAAAATCAATTTAAACACTTTATCTCAAATCATATAATTCAATTTATATAAATTAGAGCATTAGATAATCAAGCAATACTTAAATCAAATATGATATATATATTTTCAGTTCGGTTTAATTAATGTAGTTAGGTAATAAATTAACCTATTAATATTTAGATTTTCTTTTTTTTTTTTTTTTTTTTTTTTTTTTTTTTGTGTAAGATTTTTTGGATTTTCTTTGCTTATCCAATATATCGGTCGCTATTAATTCCAACAATGTTTTATCAACATCAAGCTGTAAATATTTATAAACGCAGCCTATTTCAAGAATGTGTCCTTAAATGAATCTATTTCAAGTAGGCCTAAGGCCAGCTTGGAGGTGTTGTGAGGCAGATGGAGAAATTAATAGTAATTGATTGTTAATATAAATTTAGTTGATTGGTACTAGAAGCAATTAATACCGATTTCATCTTTTTTCTCATCCTGTCTTTTTAGGATGTGTTTTATTTTTGGTATTCAAGAAATATTTAAACTGAAAATTTACGTTTACATTTTAGTACTAATGAATATTGAAAATGAATTTTGAAGAAAAATACCATCAATGAAGATTTTATGGCTGAAATTAGCTTTAAATCAATTAATA